TAAACCAGTTTTATTAAGTAAAGACTTGTGTCGCTTAAGTTTCGTCGGAACGAAGTTACGGAAAATTAATTAACAAACGGAGACGTAACAATATACAAGACTACCCCAATCTAGTAGTCTCCCGACATTTTATGAAGGTTCGAGAAGGAAGTGTCGTGATACAAGCGTCACGTGACCTGCGTTGTCGTAACAATACCTATATATTACACGCACATATGCAGTGTGTGTGTGTGTGTGTGTGTGGTGGTTGTATATTGGGTATACTGAACCCCCCTATTTTTGTGATGTAAAAAAAATATGCTTATATAGTCATAGTGCAGCTACTTAAGGTATTTAACGTTTTCTACATAGTCTGTACTCTTCTGACGAAGCAATAGTATTTTTTGGTTTGAAATAATTCCATGCCTTCAGACCTCTGCAGGATTAGTATGCTTTAAAACTGATTGTGCTTCACACAATATGTGTTGGCTTTTGATCTCACTAATTAGAACCCCCCTTTCAAACATTCTGCGTACTGTCCTGCATTACATTTATTTCTGACGTTTACAAAGCATAAACTACCTTGTAACCATTAAAGTAGAGAAGTGTTAGTCTGATCAAGTATAATTAATTTTATTTTTCTAGTGACACATTACTTTTTAGTATATATGTTTTGTGTTTAGGAGAATTGGAACTTTCTGGCATGTTATTGATCACTTTTGTTGCGATATTTTTACAACGTAAAGAGTAATTTTTCAGGTGCTTCCCGCTGGCTCCGCATATTGTCGGCATATTGATGTACACTGCAGATGGTTTGTTTCTTTGTAATTAAGCACAAAGCTACACAATGGGCTATCTGTGCTCTGCCCACCACGGGTAGTGAAACCCGGATCCCAGCGTTGTAAGTCCGCAGACATACCGTTGTGCCACTGGGGTCCAAATGTAAGAGCTTATAAGGCTACAAATCGGGTTTTGAGAGTCGCGATGAGCAGAGCACAGACATCTCATTGTGCAGCTTTGTAATTAGTAACAAACAAAAATCCTTTCACTTTCAGGTATTCCCTTTTATTTTCAGACAGAATCCTGCGGCATGATTATCTAATTTATCTTTTTTGAATTTAAAAAATAACACTGTAAATAGTAGCTACGATAAATTTAAGTTAGGTGCCGCTTTTGGTGGTGGCGGGACGACAAAAATGAAGGAATTTTCATGTTTTCGATAATAAGTTAATTGCAAGTCATAAGTCGATGCATATGCAGCGAGGCTATCTTGTAATTTTATTTAATACAATAATTCCGAAGTGTTTTTTGCTCAAATTACAATTTTGAGGAAGGCCAAACATTTTAAGCCAAAGTAAGAGTACTTGTTTAGGGCTAGGTAAATTTAAAAATAAAATGCCAGTATCTCATCAAAACGCCCTCCGGGAAGACGGTAAATCAAACCTGAATGTTGGTGGAACTTCTAATAATAATGACATGTCAGACGGTATGGCTTCAGGAACAACATCAGCAGCTCTTGTATATAAACTCTGTAGTCATATAATTGGTTTGTCATCAGGTATATATTAATAGTATATATATTTGCAAAGTGGTATTTTTGTAAATCTGGTGCCATTTTTTTAAATTTATTTTTATTGCATCAGGTTTATATTCTGCATAGTCTAAAGGAGTGATCAGAACACTGAAAAATGTATAAATTAAAATGTACACATACATATTTCATTTTCAGTTATGGGTAACTGTAACTGAGTGTAAAATTAGAGAACAAATGTTTTTGTTTTTTTACACATACACAAAAATGGCCACATGTCCTGCAATTGAGCTTTGTGAGTTTGGCTTTGAAAACACTGAAAGAAAGTCCTTATAACTTGTGGTGTGCCATTGTGATGCTTATTAAAAAAGGGTATAGACATTACTGACACATAGATTGCAAGGATTAAAATAGATTTGTAACCTTTAATAGCTTGTGTTATCCAATTACATATGATTTGAGAGTGTGGCTAAATAAGTATAGGTGTATGATATTTAGTGACACATAATGGACTGTATTCTATTTGTGTCTGTTTCTTTAGTATCGGATCTGTGTGGTGGATATATATATATATATATTGTACTGAGTTTTGTCAGCTATATATTGATGTTTATTGAGGGTTTCTTATCAGATTTCCTTGACACATGGTAAATAATTTGTAGCACCTGCAATAAGTAAATGAAGATGTATTATGACATGTTTACACTAAAAATGCAAATATTTGTATTTTATTAGTAGGAAATTAGACTTGTGACTGGCCAAATGTGAAGTGAAAAAGATTATTTCATAAAGTACTCGTTACTTAAAATGACATTGAAAACCCCTATTTTATTTCACAAAAGGACTAATTAAATTAGTGTAAACAATTGCTGTGTTGCAATGGTTCTGCTTTTACATAAGTTTGCTAAAATGTGTAAATCATTTAAAATAGAATACTTGTGTTATATTGCTTGAAAATATTATTACTGCTATGACAAAAAGAAGTAAAAGAAAGTGGCAACATATGTATGAATACCAACATTTGGCAGTGACAAGCATATACAAATAATTGTTTTAGAGTAATTTTTTTTAATCATTTTGTTAACATTCTCCACTTAATGATGTATTGTACATACATCAATCCTATGGCCTACTTTTGCTTCCATAGATCATGATAGAACTATAAGACCCATACCTTTGATGTAATAACATATGATGTATTGGCTTATTTGTATGTTTTTGTCATTTTTTAATTTTACTACTAATTTTTTATAATAGTAAATCCTTGAAGTAACTTTTCATCTGAATCACTATAGTTCTGGTTCATCAGTGACTTAAGCCATTCATGCAATGTGCTGTTACTAGTGGCAGAGCAAATAGAATTTTAGGTTGTATGTGCAGAAATGTTAAATACAAATTTAAAAAGATTAGAATGTCATTCTTTAGGTCATTAGTTAGGCCATATTTGGAGTACTGTTTTCATTATTGGGCTCCTTGCCTCAGAAAGGTTATTGAATTGTTGGAAATGGATCAGAGGAGGGCTACTAGGATGATATCTTGAATGGAAATGTCATGCAAGGTTAGGTTAAGATCTCTGAAATTGGTTTCTTTTGAAAAAGTAAGAGTTTGAGATCTTATTGAGGTGTTTAAGATTGTTAATGGAACTGACAGTGTTGATGCATTATCTTTTTTTTTGTATTTCATGATGAAAATGTTAAGATTAGGGGACACAAATATAAATTTTGTGAATGTAGGAGTCATCTTGGACAAAGATGGCTTTATTTTTCTGACAGGGTAGTTGACATTTGGAACAGGTTGCCTTTTAGTTTTTTGTTTTTTTATAGTTTAATTTAGTGGATAAAACAGCCAAGATGGACCAAAAGGTCCTTTGTTGTCCTTTAATGTTATGTATATACTATACTAGTACCAGTATGAACTAGGTTACAGCAGATACATAATAGTTAGCCAGCCAAAGTTGAAAGATTAAAACTAGATAAAGCACCAGTACTAGGCAATGTTTTTCAAAATGGTTTTAAAGGAGTTTAAAGATCAGATATGTGACCTCCTCTCTCTTTCATTTCTGGTAGGTCAATAGACAGTAGGCTCGTAGTGCCCGAGTATTGGAAAGTTGCTAGTATTAGTCTTGTTTTCAAAGGGGGTAATAACACTTTCCTTAGAAATTAGTTAGTCTTACTTCTGCAGTAGAAAAACATTTTAGAGTCTGATAAAAGAAGTATTGCATAATTGTCTAGTGAAACATGATGTAAAAGGAAATCAATATGGAATCACTGAAGGAATTCTTTCCTTTGTAAACTCTTAACTTTTTTGAGGATATTATGTATTATTTTTATGGGGGAAAGGGTGCAGACTTGGTGTACTTAGATTTTACAAAAGCTTTTGCTAAGGTGTCACACATTAACTAAGAAAATCAGATTGGTAGTGGTTAGGGAAAGACTGGTTAATTGGATTGTAGGGTGGTTAACAGAGAAAACAATAGGTTATTAATGGAATGTAGTCAAACTGGACCCTTGTGAATATTGGATTGTCTCAGGAGTCTATATTTGACACTTTGATTTTCTTGTTTGTATTAATGATATTAATGGTAACATAATTATTTTATCTTGCCAAAAAAAAACAAACTTGATATTTATGAAAGTTTATAAGATTATCCAGGGGATCAGCAGAACAAACACCTTTTGATATCTTTGTGCTATATTCTGAAGATAATTGAACAAAAGGACACAAGTTTAATATTTGGAAATGACAGGCTAAGGTCCAATTAACACATTAATTGCTGCAATACTTGGCATTATTTATGGAAGGTGCTAATAATTGTTTTAGTCCAATATTCTTATGTTTTCAATTTAAATCATGGTAATAATAACAATAAATCAAAAACACATAATTTGTACATCTTTTTTATTTAAGAAACATGAGGCATCGTCAGCATTACACAAAGATCATGGTGATCAAGTGCTGCAGATGCACATGTGCATCTAGAAATTTATTTAGATAAAATCTATGGAAAACTCCTTTCATTCAAAGAAAAGACAAAATATCGGTTGAAATGTATTTATCATGATATACACATCATATGATGAATACATCATCATTTTTTGTGGTACAATTAGAAGTGCTTATCCAAACAAAGTCAGAACGATTCTGGATGTGTTTCTTTGAATCTTTGGATTTTGTCTTTTTAATGCATAATCTACACTTTTTCTCATTGTTTTACCGCTTGGATATATTTTACATTTTGTTGGCATATGTTCAACATCTTTAGCTTTTGGTGATTTACTTGGGATTGGAAGTGGTAAAAGCTCCTTTATTACCACCAGACAAAATTGTATAGTGTCATTTTGTTCCCAGAATAATGATTATACAAATAAAAAAAAAATTAGCAGAGTCATTTGTAATATATGAATAAAGATTTTTTTATACTACCTTATGTTTTTTCTTGAGCAAGGATAGTACAGTATGACATCTGATCTTGTCTTTTGATTCCACTCTTAATCACATGGAAATATGAAGTACAATACCTATACTTACTTCTCACAGTTACACAGTGTGCTATCGTTAATGAGCATTTCTAATGGCAGTCAGGAATATCAACTAGTTGGGGACTTGCACATGTGTCATGAGCACATGCAAATGAATGCTAAAAGTATATGTGCATCCTCAGCAGTAAATGTGTTAAGACAGTTTTAAATATGTATTTTGTAATAATTAATAGCTAAAAACATTAACCATGTTGTGAGAAATAATATATAGACTGTATTTTAAATGCACAATTTTTAAATTCAGATTGTGTTCTTAACACTAAAAAAATATCGGGATACATTGGAATGACAGCATAAATTAGTGACTGAAGATACTTGTTTAGATTTAAGCACATGTTGAAGTCTTATTGAATTATGGATTGTTTTCTCTAGATGTTTTAACACCATCATATCAACTTGCCTTGAGAACACTTAGTTGGTAAGTAATGCTCAACAAATCATGTGTACTGTTTTTATTTAAGAGTTTAGTAAATTCACATTATTCAGGTTTCATTTTCTTGTTAGACTTTGTAACATTGTTAGCAGATTTTTTCTTAATGATCAAATACTATAACTAATAAAGGATTTTATCCATTAATAAAAATTTTAATATTGTTAACACTACTTTGTTAAATTTGGCCTGCTAAAAAACTACCTTTCTGTTTGCTTGATGAAACAACTTGTATGTGTGTATATATATATATATAATGTGTGTGTTATTTATAATTATAAATTCTTGTCTAAAATTATTTGTTACATAAATTTTTTTAACAATATTAGATGTATCATATTTTTTATTTTAATTAAGTTTATTACATTCTTGTAATTATATAACCATTTTAAAACAATAAAAAATGTAATTTTACAAAACCTCTTAAATATTTCAGCAGAAATTCTTGCAGTATGTAACAGTTGTCTAAAATGCCTCAAAATATTATATTTTACATTTACATTTCACCTCTGACTTTGAAATTTTTCAATGCTAATTGATTTCTTATCTTTGTAACACAAGTATCTTGCAGGTAGAGCCATGTGCTTTGATTACATTCAACGAATTGATTATTCTCAGAAAATGGTTAAAAATGAATAAAAACTAATAACATTTAAAAATTGGGTTTAAATACTCACTGTGGAAAGAGCACAGATAGCTTGTTATGTAGCTTTACACTTAACAACAAACATAATGACACTATTTCAATTAGTTAATTATTTTCATGAGTTGAATATTAATCAATTAAGCTGAATAAACTTGAATTAATCAAAAATAATAAGGAAAAATCATTCTGCAATATTTTTAGTTACTGGATAGCTAGAATTATTGGAAGAAAACACTAATTGTATTTAGTTTGTTATTTTCATGACATTAATCAATTTAATTGTAATTTTGAATTCGTGATAATTGGAATAATCGGAAACACTAATTTTGATTAGGTGATTATTTTTGTGATATTAATTGATTTAATGACAATAACTGGATAGTTGGAATAATTGAAAACAGTAATAATTGGAAACACTAGTTAATTATTTTTTACATAAATTGGTGTAATTGATTAATGGATTATTTTTGTGAGTCATGAAACCAATTAAGCTGAACAAACTTGAAGTAATCTAAAGTAATTATGAAAAATCATAATGGCAATATTTCAAGTACTATAGCTGTAGTAATTGCAAATGCTAATTTTGATTGGTGTATTATTTTCATAACATTAATAAATTGAATAGTACTTATGAATAATGCATAGTTTGAATAATTGGAAACACTAGTTTATTATTTTTGTGACATAGATTTAATCATAATTTTAATTAATCTCTTAATTTTTCTGGCACTTATCAATGCTCATAAATAATAAGTTTTATCATCCAGCTCTTGTTGCAGTCGTTGTGATAACTTTCACATTAATAATATTGATGATTCAGAAGTTATAGTCTGAATTACACAATGTTTAGGTTTGATATAAAGTATAAATAGTCAAAGGCAAGTTCAGCTGGTCTATTAATTTATTTAATCAGTATATTCGATTACATATGATTACATTAATTAGTGTGATGTAAAATAATTGATTAATCAAAATTGAAATTAAATCAATTGTCACAAAAATAATCAACTATTTGAAATTAGTGTTTTTGATTATTGTAATTATCCAAATAGGCAAAATATTGTCATCATGATTGCTTACTATTACTTTTTATTAATTCAAGGTTATTTGGCTTTAATTGATTTGTGTTTCTAATTACTACTATTTTTTATTATTCCAATTATCCAGGTCTCATGTGAAAATAATTTATTAGTTGAATTTAATTGATTAAAGAGCCTAATGGTTAATCTTTTGACAAATTTTACTCTAAGCAAACATAGTGATTTAAGCATTTTACATGTACTTGTTTAGCTTTTGTATCTTCTGTTTTGTAGAACTGAAATACTTGTCAGGTTGTTTTTACCATGAATATATCAGAAGTATAATATTTTTACAAGTCACTGCATATTGATAAAAAAATGTTATTATTAATCTAAAAACTTGACATTTGATTTTAAAAAGTTTAATTCTATGTTTCAGCATTTCAACAGCAGCTATAGAAAGCGATGAATTTGAAGTCAGTGAGAAGATCAAGAAAAGATGTATGTGTAAAATTTTATAGTTGATTTTGTTTTATGTTAAAAAATTTTGTATTCATGTTTTGTTAACCATATGTATATGGCAGGGTCAAAGTGCATGTCACAACTTTTTTAGAGACTTGCATTCAAAACTTAATTAAACTGCTTGAAATGTATGTCAATAAACTTGGCGTAAAAATACGTTATAATTAAAAGTTTTATATTATCTAAGTTGTAATTTCAAAAGCAAACACTGAAATATATTCTCAGTCTTGACTTCTTACGTCATATGGCACTTCTCCCCTCTGATTCACTTATTCTCGGTTTTCTGTAAATGAATGTTAATGAAATTTGACAGATTATCAGTAAATATTACAATGCTTTCATATGCAAAATATAAAGTTTTTTTTATGAAGTCTTAAGGTTTGTAAAGCAATGTTTTCTCATGTCTTTTCTTTTTTTGCATGTTGCCTATCTATTATGCAAAGTAATATTCATTTTAAGATTAAATATACTTTTGTGCATCTAGAAAA